CCGATAATTGTTTCTCAACACAAAGCGACGGTTAATTGCGAGCGCCTCTGCGAAACGGAAGAGGCGAGAATTGGTATGCTGTAGTAGGATTCTGAATGCCGAAGTGACCTTGACTCGGTGACCTGTGGTCAATAAGTGTCGGCCGATTGAAGTGGCTGGTGGCTTACGCAGATAAGCATCTTGAGTTCGGCCAGGTACCTGCGCGGTCGAACGTTGAACCCACTTAGGTACATGCTTCTTCATTCGGAAACTCAATGTTCTATCGGTCTTGCCTTTGTAACTGGCGCCGCAGTCACATACGGATTGGTAAATGCAATACGATTTGGCCCCGATTGGCTGAGCCTCCTTTACAGAAGAAGTGGCAGCTTTTGGGTTTCATTAATGACAACGACCTCGGCATCATAGTAACTTGTCTGCATGATACAGATCAGACGTCTTGTGGTCTTCAACGAGGAAACGTCACCTTTGAATGGCAGTTCAATGATTATAGGCTTCTTGGGTACCGTGTGCACTAGGACACTTGGTCGCCCTTGACTATGTTTCTCTATGAACCTTTGAGGGTAGTCGTTTTCAATGAGCGTGTTGTTAATCAACTGCACTTAGTCAACAGGGCAATCAGCGGAGCACATTCGTCTGGCACGACTAATCAGGGTTCCCACGAGCGTTCGCTTGTATCGCATTGGTGTGAAGATAGTGAAATGCAGATACTGCTTGGACCATGTTGATTTCCTGTAGACCTCTTGCTCTGCTCATTTTTTCTGCGGCTTATAAGGGTATCCAAGTAGTGGAGGCAATTTTGCTTCTCTACCTCACAGGAGACCTGCAAGTTGGCTTGCGCAGAATTTACTTGCTTGAATTGCTTTACCAACTGCTCCATCTGATGCTCCGATCAACAACTTGCCAAAATATCATCCACGTAGCGTTTGTAGTATGGCAGTCGAGATATTTTTCCAGGCAGACCTCGCTCTACCATTAACAAATCTTTGCAGGATAGCCAGCTGTTTGTGACGGTATGTTGTCTACACAAGGTGTAGCTGCCTTGACCCTGAATGTCTGCTTAGGGCATTAAGGTTTTCAGGTAAGTCTCCCTTCTCTCCCTCTTCTTATTACATATTTCATAGGTCCTCATGGTTGTATGGCGGCGAAACATCAGTTCAAATGGCTGCTGTACTGCTGTTGATGATGATGATGAAGTGAAAGTCGACATTCTCTGTACAAAATAACAACGAGTCTCTTAGTACTTCAACTGGCATCAGTAGAGGACACCGCGAACCTTCTGACATCGGGGTCAAATCGCATTGCATTTACCAATCCGTATGTGACTGCGGCGCCAGTTACAAAGGCAAGACCGATAGAACATTGAGTTTCCGAATGAAGAAGCATGTACCTAAGTGGGTTCAACGTTCGACCGCGCAGGTACCTGGCCGAACTCAAGATGCTTATCTGCGTAAGCCACCAGCCACTTCAATCGGCCGACACTTATTGACCACAGGTCACCGAGTCGAGGTCACTTCGGCATTCAGAATCCTACTACAGCATACCAATTCTCGCCTCTTCCGTTTCGCAGAGGTGCTCGCAATTAACCGTCGCTTTGTGTTGAGTAACAATTATCGTTCAGCAGTAGACACTTTGGAATAGGGGTGATAACCGTGTGTCGCTTATCGTGTGTTGGTCTGTTTGTTTGCATGCATCTTTGACCGTGTACCCCACGCTGAGGCTGATGTTGCATTCTCGATGCTCCTCACCGCAGTTGGGCTAACAACCTATCCTTAATCCAGATCTTTTTAAGCTTGATAAATTTCTTTTCATCTTATTTAGTTGGTTCTGAATAATCTTCTATTAACTTGCACTCGTTTCTTACGCTAATTGTGGTGACCTGCATTTATCACGTTCGTGGCATTTTTTGAATAATGTGGATATTTTGTACCTATCGCAGATTCGTTGCTAACCAACTTACTTCATATGGAAATTTAGCGAAGAGTTATCTCGGCATAACCGTATACTTTACCAGATACATTTTACTTGATAATACTATTTCAAGTGATTGGCTGTTGTTTGATATCTTCTGTGTTGTTGCGCCTGGTGTGTATGTTAACAAGGTGCCTGCCTGTCTATTACCCACTATCTCGTCCATACTGGCTCCAGGAGACAGTTGGTGGTTGCTGGAGGGAACTGGGTGCACCGTCTTTGTGGCCGTGTTAGGATCAAAGAGTGGTTCCGTACATTCAGTGTGGAGTGGACTACGGTCCAGCCATCGCCTTGTGTGTGCTTGATTCCCCAAATACAGCGTGCTTGTGTTTGTTTGTGAAGGAGTGTGGGCCGGCTCCGTTGATGAAACGTGGCTCCCATCCACATGCCTCCCGGTCTTATTCCTTCGGGTTTTCACTGAATATGAAGTGCGTGTTTGGAGCTGTGGGTGGTGCAGCGCAAGCCACCCGTGGTCTCTTTGTAGGCGCAGGAGTCCTTTGACTGGCCACAGTGGCTGTTAAATCCGAAACCGGATGCCGCCAACCATGTTTGGTCGCACCACTTCAGTTTTTACCTCCGATGTAGGCTGAAGGAGACCGACATTTTTGCTTTTTTGATGGTGAATCCGAATTTGGCCGCTGTCGAAGCCAGAGCACTAGTCATGTGCTGCAACTCACCCGCGCTGTGTGCAAACAACGCACAGTCGTCAGCGAACAGCAACATACGGATAGTTGTCTCACAGACTAGAGTTCTCGCACCGAAACGACGGATGTGCAGCAACCCCACATCAGTGCAGTGCTCCACACGAACACCGTACGCTCAAGCGGAATCAAAAACACAAGACATTGCATAAAGATAAATATTAAACCAAAGAAAAGCTAGCGCACAGCTTTGCTGCACACCAGGTATATCTGCATAGTCATCCGTGGTTTCTCCACACAGACGCACCTACACCCACATACCACTGTGCAGACATGCAATTAAAGTTACAAACTTACCCAACACCAGCTACAACGCCTCGCGGTTCGCCGTATCGTATGCGTTGGTGAAGTCAACAAAAAGTGAGTACAACGGCTGGTTTCATTCTCTACACTTCTCCTGCAACTGACTAGCCGCAAACACAATATCCATAGTGCTGCGACCCGGACCGAATCCACACTGCTCTTCCGCCACATTAGGTTCCATAACCTGACTGACGAGGTGGTTGAGCAGGATTCGGGAAATCACCTTGCCAACATAACTCAGCAAGTTGATGCCACGATAATTCGTGCAACATTGTTTGCTCCGTTTGCCCTTGTACAGTAGTAGCACAAGGACATCTTTCAGCTCAGGAGGCACCTCCTCCTCAATCCATACGCGTTGCACCAAATGGTACGGCGCAGTCACCAACGCGGGTCCGCCGTATTTCAATACTTCAGGTGGGATCCAGTCAACTCTGTCACGCTTGCCGTTTCGCAGCTGAGCAAGTGCTCTCTGCGTCTCATCCAGTGTCGGCGTGTCCGACAAACTCGCCTTCCCATCGTGCTGCTTGAGGCCGTTCAATGTAGGCCAGTCGATCTCTGAACGGTTGTTCAAGAGACAATGTGTTTTTGCCAGATCTGCGCTCTGTCTGCAGGTAGCGCCTGAGTTACCATAGATCGGCGTCCTCATCGGCTCCAATCTCCGTCCATACACCGCCTTCAAGGAGTCAAAGAATTCCTTGTGTTGGTGGCGTTCGGCGTAGCATTCCATCTGCTTCGCCTTCTCCGTCCACCATGCATTTTTAATGCGACGGAGCTCTCGGGTCAGTCGTCGTCGAATTCGCCCAAACTTTCTCTTCTTCCTCAAGTTACTGGGGTCTGACACATGTGCAGCAAATGCTGCATTCTTCTCCGACACCAATGCGCCAATCGTCGCATTGTTCTCATCAAACCAATCAGACCGTTTACAGTTTGCGCGCCCGATGGTCTCCTCGGCAGCAGCTGTCACCTCGTCACGAATGTGGTGCGACGCGTGGCCCACTGTGGCAATCACATAGTATCTCGCCCTCTGACGAAACCATGGACCTTGATGTGTTTGTGTTTTCTTTTACAATTTCTGTACCTGCTTTTGTGTTCCATGGTTTCTGATGGTTTTATGTCTATTCATAGACTGTTGCAAATACACCATGGCTATACGTTCCACATCACACATTCGTGCAGCCATCGCCTTCTCCTGCTCAATACGTTTCGCCACAGTACCGAGGGAGAGAATGTTACATTTACTCCAATTCACGGTGAGAGTGCAATACATAGATTTACGATATGTACTGTTTGGTCGGCACCATTTTGTGATCATTGCCACACTCAACACTACTCAGTACTTGTGTCATGCGCACTTCACGCATATCACGTTGATATAGTCGAGCATTTGAGCGTGAACACTCCGTGGGTGTGTCTAAGTTGCTATATCACTCGCACCTAGTGTAAACCGAGTGTTCGTGATCGTCAGGCCGTGAGTGGCACACAGTGTGAGCAGCCTTCCACCGTTCGCATTCGCTGAACCAATACCATGCAGACCGATGACATCTGTCCACCCTGATGCATCACGCACAACGCACGCGTTGAAATCACCCAGTGGAAATAGTCGGTCGCTCCTCGGCACAGGCCGTATCACGATAGACAGCTTCAAATATAGCGAATCTGGTATTTGGCAAACCCCTCAGGTGCAATGCCATATCCTTGATAATTTCCTCAAAACAACATACGGTTCACGATCGAATCGTTTTGTTAGACACCGGTGTTTGTCCACTACTCACTTGCAACATCACGTTCGTTAGAAGTAAGCGTGCCTAAATATCCTGGATAACAGATTCGTCAGTTTCCACTGCTTTGATGTGTTTTTACGACTATTCGCTACATGAAATGCGGGCTAAGTGTTCTGTTTATGTGTTGCTCGTGAACTCTGCTGCTACCGACACATTTGTCGCTCTTCTTATTGTGTTCGATATCGACAATCTGGCGGGTCCCATAGTGTTGGTTATTTCTTATTCGAATCTTGTTTTCCTCATTTCAGCACATCGCAATCACCAAGCTTGGTGGTGTCAGTGCACATTGTACAGCGATCACTTGCGATGCCTTTTGCTCCAGACATAATTCCATGGACAGCGTTCAATCCCAACTGGTGGATCTTGGTGTTCTCGACAACAGTTGTGCTATTTTTGCTTCGGCGATACAGCTATTATAAAGATAACAAATCGCCCATATCTGTCGACTGTTGGTTTTGCTCGAATAAGAACATTGTGGATAAAGTCTATGAAAATTCTTTCGTTTGCAGTAGTTGTGATCAGTATAACGGATTTTCTGATGATGGAGGATACAACAGGATCATTCCTGGCCATTTTGCATCAGCACCCGCTCATTGCAAACGCTAGTAATTCATCCGATTCTAACTATTCTCATATTCAGCTCAAGGCCAGGTAGTTTTGTCACCCAATCAGATATCCTTTGTGACACTTGTTCCTCTAAGCAAAGCACGATCGTTCGAAAGCTAGCTGATTTTGAACCTATCTCCGATGATCGATGGGACACCGAATTGAAAGCATACACCGATCAACTCGAACGCAACTATCCTTTGTGTAAAAACTGTTTTTTGGCTTCACGAAATCGTATACATGAGGTAAGGTTTACCAAAACCCACTCGAACCTTTGTTGTCTGTTTCCGCGTTTACTTAGACTTGAGTGGCAGATGCATCCGACGTATTACTTATCCTAATTCTTGATTGACACTTTTTTCGTTAGGTTGTCTCCTCATGGCCGGTGGTCGTGATGGTCGCTGTTTCTATTCAGCATGAGTGTGAGCAGGTTTGCAATATTCCTAACCCACACCCGACTGTCGGTGGTCACCTGACACCGAAGTGCCGGCACGACCTACCGGCTTAGTGATTATGTCTTTTTATATCCAAATACTTATGCATTTTACTTTCCCGAATTTGGTTGAACGCGATTGTCTTGAGGAAACATACATGCCCGTGAGGATCCATTAAATACGAGGTGTTGTAGAGTGCTGGAGTTTGTTGTCGTCATACGTGCGATTTAGGACTTCTCGATTGAAATCATCTAAGGTCCAGAAAGTGTATGCGATATACGTGCTACGCACTCCATCGGTGGTTTGTTGATTGTATGTATGTCAGCTGATGTCGTCTTGTTGTCCCTTGTTCTATCCGATCACCTACCACTATCGACGTGGCCTGGTAGTTTGCGTTTCGTGTAGTTTATTTCAATTAGACATTTAAGATCCATTACACCTAAGCGCAATGGACCCATCTTCCTGGACTGGCGTTGCCGGGATAACGGTAATTGTAACGATCATTATAATAATAATTCGCTAAATAGACAAAACATAAGTAGGAGAATTGATGAGTAGACTTATTCGGGTTTGGAATAAGGTCAGTCCAGATATGCTTTATGCATCCAAATGGGTGCATTTTGTGCATTTTACATGGTAAAGTATTTGTGTACTAAATTGGCGCCAAAGTTGCGAAATTTACAAGTGGATAGAATGTGACCAATCAAAAGTACTGACGCTTCGTTGCCGCGTGATCACTACCGTTTGCTGCGAGGGTCGCCCGGTCCCTACGCAGGCTCAAACCAACGCCCTCGGATTACAAGGCAAGCTTGTGATCCTTAATGCTACGGGCCGGTAGACGGTCTGTTTTTCCATAGCGACGATCGCATACTGTTGACCATAATCTTCTGGATTGGCGTCTAGTCCACAGGGCAAAGGTTCATTATATTGCTCGTCGTTACTAGTTCCACTTGCCGTAGAATTTTGTGCCCCAAAGCTATCTTTACGGCAGACCACGTAAAATTATGTTTGGCGATTTCAAGGCCCCGCTAATGCACGAAACCGAATGCAGAGACGCCATTGAGTCCGCAACTCTACTTTGTCGCGGATATGACTTCCAACTACTGGTGTGATCGAATTCGAGGCTTCACTCCTGGAAGCAATCACAACTCTTCCGAGTGGGCTTTATTGCACTATTTTGGCACGTCGTCGACCGATCATCATACGTTTTCACTCATCTTGGCTTTGCGATGCTATGTGATACACGCCGATGTAGCCCAATCACTGTGAGCTGTCCTAGTTTACTAGATGCCCTACTGTGTCTTGTGGGCCTCTTATCAGGATGAACAGTTGGATCTGAGGAACGAGCCAGACGAACATCGCAGATTCGATAATTTTACACAACAACCCGCCTCTGATGATTGACCAGATTTTGAGTGCGCTACAGTAAGAGTTCCTCGTTCATTTGACTGCGTCTGGAGAGAACCACAACGGCGCAAAAAATGTCCTTGTCTATGGATACCAAGGAGTAATATATTTTGAGGTATTTTACCGGCGGAACTTTCTATAACTTCCAGTTATCTCTGTTCAATAAGCCAGGTGTCCCTGAAGAACCGACTTTTACGATACATAAAGTTCTGTTACGAGATACCGTAAAACCGGGTACCTTTGGTCCACTTTCGTTTGATTGGAATGTACCACACATTTGTCTGTACTTTTGATAACCTCATTAAGTGATCTGTTCATGAGCCATAGTGTTATAATGCTGTAGGAAATATTGACTAATGCAGTTCTATAACGTTGAGTCAGTTTTTTCAACATATCTGCTATGGCCAAAGTTCCCTTTTTATGAGAATACTTTGGCCATAAAGTCAACACACACACAGAACCCGTGTTAACTAACACAAGAGTAAGCTAGGCCACTGTTAATATGTAAAAAAATACAAAAAGCATCTTGTTGTAACACTTCTACTTTATCTCTGCCACTGACGACTGTTGTACTGTTGCTAGCTGCCCTATGAGACTGCGATTGTCTGACTTCTCAGTCACGCGCCAACCCAACCGACGGAATACAGAAGACCAAGGCTCGGTAAACATGGAGTTTATGGAGTCTATCTACACCATAAGTTAACTGTATTTATAGGTAGTCGAAACACGCTAATTTAGGAGGTCAAGATCGCTCATTTTTGTGCGTCCGGTTTTCAGCCAGTGTGAGTGAGTTCCACTCACGGGTTTATCATATTGACGGTATAGTTCGATTCGCTTTACGCGGACTGGTAATTGCTGGCCGATCAATTCTCAGTCGATACCCAACTTTAGCTCTGCTTACGTCTCTATTACATCTATAACATTATTAACTACTTAAGCATATTTCTCAAAATGTATTTTTGAGTTCGACAAGCCTTCTTTGATGGTGGAATGCACGTTGTCATAATCAGAAAAGATTTCTGGTCGGTTGTCGCACATCACCGACGGAGGACAAGTAATCGGATTCTCTTAGATAAACTTCGTCTGTCGAATCGCTTACTGGTACAGTACAAGGCTCCATTCGGGTAACCGACTCCTCGGTTGGACCCAAGACACTTTCCTCAGGCTTTACATTCAGATCATTTTGAGTTGTGATAAATTTTCTGCACCAGTGGCAAAGCGCATTGCTTACAGCTGTTGCTTGAATACCTGAGAAGCGGAGGTGCTGTTACTTGCATCTTCTTCCTTTTCCTCTGGAATTCTGTTCAGGGGAAGACTTGGGATTTATTGCACACATGCCAGCTTTTTTAAACCACGACCAGAAGTTTTCTGCGATACCTTCACCCATGGTACCTAGAAGTGATTTAGGTCATTCTGCCGCAGGAATTTTGTCAGCATGGCCTTCTACTTGGTCTTCATAAGCCGAAAGAATGCTACATCTAGAGGCTGGTAGAGCTCCACCAATTTGGTGGAAGACAATAAACAGCAATCTTGTTTTCAATGCAGTCTGATAGTGTTAAGAGAAGATGTGAACTGAGATTATCACCCAAAGGGACAACGACCAGTTTTCCTGAAACACTTGCTGAATACAGCCTGAAAAGCAACTTTTGTCAAGCCAGCCTGACCTTGACCTGTTATGTCCTGTGTCTGGTGGACCATTCTCCCTTCAGGTGTCCCAAACCTCTTCGGCGCCAGTAACTCTCCATCAACGATTCCAGCGAACATCAGGCTAATTGCTGACTGACCAGTTCATATTCCCCTCATGATACTTGGTGCCTCTTTCAAATATTACCTGGCCAACTGGCCAAACTTACTGCAAACTAATAAGCTTATTGTGGTAACATTGGACACCAAGACAGTAACATAACAAGCTTGTTCGCCCAGCCGTCTTTTGCTTCAGATGTCCCCTCCGTGATTATTTTCTCAGTTGAAACAGTTCAAGGATCCCACTGTGTTGAGAGAACTTAACAAAAACGTTAGGTTTAGCACAAGATTTGCGATGGCGAAGACGACTCTGCCGTTTTTGTGTGAGTGTGTAGTACGCTGTGATTATCCCAAGCACTTTTGGAAGCTTCTCA